GGCTGTGCATAGCTCTCCTTCTCAGGGCTACGCATGGTTCTCTTTTCAATGGCCGTGATCCTCTCTGCACCTCCACAGCCACATGGTTCTCCACTCTGTTAAAGACGCATAGTTCTCTCCTCCTCAGGGCTGCGCATGGTTCTCTCTATTCTGCTAAAGCTGCCTGGTTCTCTCTCTCAAGGCTGCACATGGTTCACCTCCTCAGTGCTGCGCATGGCTCTCCTTCTCAGGGCTGCGCATGGTTCTCCTTCTCAAGGCAGCATGGTTCTCCTTCCTAAAGCACCATGGTTCTCTCCATCAATGGCTGCCAAGTCTGGGTTTTAAATCCCCACGGCCAATCTTCCTCTGCAGCCTCATTTCCGACTCCTCCCACACTCGGCTTCACATGCCAGAATTCATATCCTTCCAGCTTTACTGGGCTGCCATCTTGAGTCTGGGCAGGTGTGGCCCCATGTCCTGGAGCCAATCTTCTCTGAGCTCCCACGCAGGCGCTGTAGCTTGGGGGATCTGCCCCCAGTCACGTCTTGGTGGGGAAGTTACTTCCATTCCCCTGGCTCAGAGATGATCACAGCTATTTAACATATCTATGCAACCAGCCAAAGGCTATAGATATGTTAAATGACCACACCAGAGGGTAGCTGCAAGGCTGTTGCTATGCAAAACAGCTCTCAATGGCCTTGCTCCATTTGTCCCTTCCCCCAACCCACACCCTGGGTGGGGGGATGGAGACAGCTTAAAATCTCCTGGACACCTTAAGTTCTGGACCCCATTTCAAATGCCCATTTGGGGTCCCCCCTCTTGGCTGCACCCTGTAACACATGCACACACATACATACACACACATTTCTCTTGGTAGCACAGCAGAAACCAAGACTTAGAATGAGATTCAAGTGTAAACCCTGCTGTCTGAACTGGGAAAGTATCTATTAGTCTTTCTTTTTTAAACAGCTATGCTCCAGAATAAGGCCATGTATTTCTCCTCCCCAACTCCAGGACTAGTTTATTCATATTATATTCACTTTTTTCACTCTATCTACCTGTCTATCTTTTTTGAAAGTCTTCCTTGTGTTAGGGCCTAGATGGTAGTTTTCCTGTCTGTATATGTTCTTCAGAAATTCACTTTATTGGGTTTACTATCTAAGAGGGCCTCTTAAAACCCTTAGAAAAGTCTCTTCTAGAGTGGAATATTGGTTATACCAACATGCATTGGAATTCAACCCAGAAAAATAAAGTGTTAATGGAATGGAGTGGTAGAGTTTAGGGTGAATTTTTCCCCTTGATTTATACATATTATATAATGCAAAAAAAAACCCTTAATCTTACTCATAATGCTTCCATTTTTAATCCCAATAGTTAAATTGAATGACAAAACCATCTTCTTCTTTCAGTACCCAAGCAAGATACACGGCTCAAAATCAGATGGTTCAAGTTTTATCCTGTCGCTATGGGAGGTGACTCTTTAAATGTTTTTTAAGAAAAAAACAATCCTGATCCTACTCTTGGGGTAAGGCTTTCGAGATTCAATCTGTCAGATGTTCCTTTTCCAGAATGGGCCCCAGGGCAACTCTGGAGGGAAATGCTGACTTGGCTTTAGGAATTCCTGACTTTGCCTTTAGGTATAGGTGGGATGCCCTCCCATTGAGATCAAACTCTGTGATTAGCTCCCTAATTTCCACAGTAGGAGTTAACCTTACTTTGTAAACTTTTACTTGATTGGTTTCTAAAACCTGTGGGTCCATATTTAGGCAGCAACTCAGAACAGAAACACTCTAGGACATCATCAGAGAACATTGCCTCAAAAAGTCAGCTCCTCATCTTTCATTTGCTAGCTTAGATAATCAAAATTTGTGGAAGATTATTTGAAGAACATATGTCAATCCCCTCTTCCAACTACTCAATTCTTCCATCAAGATAAGAATCAAAAATCTATATTGCCTCAGTCCATGACAAAATTGCCATCACTAAGTTAGCTTTTTAATATTATGCCTCTGGGTTAAAGTTACTATAAAAAATTTAAAATTGCTATTAAAGAGTATGATCAAAGACATTGTCTAGCAAAATCCTTTATAAAATATCCTTGGGATTCAATTTTGGAATAACTCTGCTTTGGCCTAGGACTGGGTATGTTGGATATAATGAAAATTACGTATCTGATTATGTCTTATTTTTCCCCTTGGCTACTATGAAACTCAGAGCTAAATATACACACACAAATACATACATATGTAAACAAACAAACAAATATTTTAATGTCCTTCAATTCCAGTTCCCTACTGAATTTGTTTATACCCTTTTTTGTTTATATAAATGGTACAATGTAATCTTTCTGAAAATTCCTAAATCACCACATAAATAATTCTCTACAGATGTTCCTTCTTCCTTTTTGATATTTTTTATTTGCTTACAAATTGGACTCAATTTACAATTTAAGAATTAGATCATCAGTGCTAAATGCAATTGTGACAAAAATTACCAAACTGAAAAGTCTCTGTGATTTGAGAGAACCCAGGCTAACTGGTTTTGGAAATAATTAAAATACAATTACATTTTTGTATTGCTAATAATTATGCCTCAAGATGCAGGACTTCACAGTGGTAACTATCTGCAGGAGTGAAGGCCTAGAATGAGGTCTGTTTGGAGAAAGAACTAACTCCACCTGGTGCTATGGCATGTTAACTTTTTGTTCTTTGCAGGGATATACTGGAGCTGGCTCTTACTCATTCATGAGAGCTAATTGTTAAAAATTTCAGGAGTTTTTTGAGTCAGCTGATGTCAGGTTGATAATTTAAAATAGGCCATGGTGGGAATATTTACACCATGAAAATTGGCAAATTCTTTAAATTAGCCCCTCCATCTCCAGAGAGTTGGTTGTAAGACATTCATCAGTTCACTTCTGTTTGTCTGGCTTATCACTCACAGCAGCGATGAGATAAGATATCTCTGTCTTCATTTTATAAAGGAGAAAACAGATTTTAAGAATCTTTAGGATTTAGGGAGAAATCACAAAGGGCACCAAAAAAAAATTCCAGAAAAAAAAAAAAACAACCCTGCCAAAACAGGAATAGGTAGAGTACTCACCCTAAGGGCTATATTCAGAGAAGATAAGCCCTATTCAGAGGAAGGCAATCTACAGATATTGCCAAATTGAGGTTCAGAAGGCTGTGAGGACGGTTTCAACTAGAGACTAAGGGACAAAACAGAAAAGCCTCCAGAGGACATTCAAGGCTCTTCCACCCTTTTTCAATTTCACCTCTTCCTACCTTGGTTGGAGACATCACATTCAACAGCAGGAAATTCTGCTGCAACCACCACCACCATTCCTCCCCAACACCCGCCCCAGGAGGAAGCATTTAAGCTTGAAGGCAAGAATCGGTTGCATGTTTCCCAGGGCTCAAAGCTTTCTGAAAAATTAAAAAGTCAACACACAAGAGTAGATTCCTTTTTCTTCATATGTACTTCCTAGCAGTGACTGGAATGGAATGGGAGGTCCCCAGCATCCCTAGCCACCTCCCTCCCATTCATGGCACCATCCTCTCTTCTAGTAGTTGGATTCAAGGCAAGGACCTTGCCCTAAAAAAAAACCAACATGGGCAGCCTGTGCTAGCTCAGCTATAAGGCAACCAAGTGAGGTTCTAGTTTGTTCTGAATTTGGGTTTGGAGCCAATTAAAAACCAAGTTTTATTCTTCCACTCATTGTTCTGTTATGTATTTCCCTCAGAAACCTTGAGAGGAGGGGGAACTGTGGTTTGGGCCATGGTTAAGGTAAGCGCAGATGACCTTGCCCATTGTTGTTTTCCCAGAGACCAAAGGATGAAGAGCTCACAGAGTTCACAAGTGGCAAAGCCAGGATTAAAACCAGGTGTGATTGCTATAGGGCCTGTGCTGTGTCCAAGGAGCTCTTTCTGTGACATTAGGCTGGGCCCAGAGACCTGGGGAGAAATTCTCCTGCCAGAGTCCTGGAGGAGAGTTAAAACTTCCTCCTCTCATGCTGATCTGTTTTCTGAAAAAGGGAGAAAAAGGGTGAAAGCAGGCAAAAGCCCTTGATTCTTTGAATGTCTTAAGTGATTAAGTGAGATAATGCATATATAGTGCTTAGTCAATAACTGGCACTTGACTGATGGTAGCTAATTTTGCAATATGCTACTATACTATGATTACACTAATACTTGGTCTCCAGAACAAGAATATGAAATTTGAATAATGAATAGATCAAGGGGCACCTGTTCTACCTCTGCTCAAACATTTTATCTTATTTTGGAGCAATTAAGAAAAGGAATTTGGAGTTGGGATTCAAATAGCCCTGCAACTCTTCAAAGTATCATGAAAATTAATCTATCTTCAGTGTTCCCTTGGGGTTTTCTCAATTTCTACTTCCTAAATGTCTTCATAGAGGAAAGTCTTAGCTAAGACATCTAACTGCTGCTTCTCCTTTTCTGATATCTGAGAAAGTACCTATGACAGATCCTAATGGGTTCCTGCCAAACAGCCAGCCTCCTTCTTCTCACTTACAGATTCCTGATTTTACTCAGGTAGGAGAAAGCAATGTTCTCAGGGAAGTCTCTCCACTTCCAGAGGATGAACAATGATTAGTCTAAATCAACCATGGTAATACATCCCCCTTTATCTTAGATTGGTTTAGAGGTGTACATTTCACTAAATTCTAGCCAATGGTATCTGTAAAGATATTTGTTGGCACTTTTGCAAAATTGAAGATGTATGCAAGAGAAACTTTCCTTCTTGCCTGCTTTGGCTTTGCATGTGAAGACATAATACTGAGAGCAATAGCTGCCATCTTAGCACCACAAAAAGACATTGGAAAAGCAGATCTTCTGTCCTTATATTATTAAGCCAAATAATTAACCCTAAATTATCTACCTCAAGGTTTATCATTATATGAGAGAAAAATAAATCCTATTAGTTAAACTCTTTGTAGGCACATATTTATAACTTGCAACCAAAAACCACCCTAACCAATATACCTTATCATTTCACAAACTTACCCCAAATTGTCCTTGAAGTTGCGGCAAGAAAATCTCATTGAAGGCACAGTTGGAGTAAGGGCATTGACTGGTGTTGAAGAGTGCAATGACACTTTTCTGGCATTCTTCAAAGTTTCCAGTGCCCAGGATTTCTAATTGATTGAATGGAAGAGGCTTCTTAAATTCCCAGGTGCAGGTGCTGTTGTAAAGGTCATTTACATTCATTACCCTGCTATATCCATTGTTGAAACATGGGTCCTGGATGGTTCTATTTGTAGCCTGCATGGAAAAATCACTTGAAAGGGTCATGTGAAAATGCTTTGGGTACAAAAGCACCAGCCTGACTTCATTAATGTGTCAGAATTGTACAACCTCCCAGCACTCAGCATTGGCATCAGTATACCTCCGTCCTGCCTTTTTCAGCCTTGGGAATAGTCAGATTTGTATAACAGGCACTAGAAATGGTATCAGATATAAATAAACTTTCTCCAGTCATAGAAAGCTAATACAGCTCAAGCTGGGCCCAGAAATGCCATTGGTTCGGAATGTTTCCTAGTGGTTAGTTCTAATCACCTGTTTAGAAGCAGATTCACAAAAAACCAGAAAGATTCTCAAAATTCTGAGCCTGAAGTAGTTCTGCAGGAGTTGGATCTATGCCCCCCCCCCCACCTCCAAGCTAAAAGTCAGAAGCTCCAAGAGCTGGAAGTGCTTTAGAATATTTAAACCAATATCAAAACTGTTTTCAACCCACAACCCAGTATGTCCAAGTGAAGAAAAGGGACTGCTATAGCTTAGAGGCTTAATGGAGCCTTGGTGCTCAGCAGGCATCTCTCTCAGTAGCCCCCACTCCAGTGGAAGTCATCGTATGGATAGTGCTTCTGAGAACCAGAGGGTGAGCTTTGAAGGAGAGCAGAGAACTGGTTGTTCTTTTAGTGGAGACAAGAAACAGCTGGATATGACATCCTTGCTCTGCGTTTGTTTATCAGGGTGTGCCTGATACTCACATAATTGCAAGTATGTTTAACCTTTCTTGCTTTCAAAATGCAGAAAGCATCTAGGGACAAGATTTGAAGTATTGATCCACAAACTTGGTGTATTCCCTGCAGCCTTTTTTTCTCTCCTCCTCTCCAGGTTGTTTTCAACAACCCTGTTTTCTGCAGTTTGTAGGAGATGGAGATTAGAAGTGGTAAAGAGGTTATAAATTGCACACACCCTTCCCTGTAACAATACCCTTGCATGTAATTTTCATTGTCAACCCCAAGAGAAATTATTTCCCAAGAAAGGATCTGAGTTGTGTCCTTGGAGATAGTGCAGTAAACAAATATAGCGGGTGATGTCTGGAGAGAACAATTCATAAGGGTCTACCAGATGTACTTAGATATGCTGCCTGAAAAAGTTTGGAAAGTACAGTAACCAACTTCAGGTCAATTACTAAAGTAGAAAGAAAACAACAGGATGTGGGTGCTGGTGGCCCAGATGTGTGCAGGGTGGGTCTGGATTCAGTTATACTTGCCTGAATGTCCTTGGCTATTTTCTGCAGGAGTGCTTGATCCTTTCCGTAGCACAAGAAACTGTGTGTGTATACATTGTAGTCCTTGCCATACAGACGAAAGTACAGAGCATTTTGTGGAGACTCAGTTGCCTGGTTTTGGGGCACAAAAGTGATTTGCGTAGAGGCTCCCCCCAGGTCTAAAGCTCCATAAGTTTCCTGACTCTCATTGCCATATGATATCAGGTTGAGCCACCTCAGTTTCTGAAAGAGAGTACAGTTACTGGTGAGTACACTGTCCAGGTAGAAGTCTCTGGACACCTTGTGTCTTAAACTGTTTCTTGGACTCAGGAACCTCCTAATGTGAAGGAGCAGAGTCTTGAGGGTGACACAAAGCTCACTAGAGGTTCCTGAATCCACATCAGATCAACAGGAAGAAAAGAGGGGCCTCAAACACAGAGCTCAGACTGCAGCCATATAGAAGCTGTACAGTGTTGATGAATACAGGATTTGGGGCTGGAAAACTCAAGTTCAGATCCTCATTCATTTGCTCATTAGCCATGTAACCTTGAGTAGAATAATTAACCTTCTCTAGGCCTCAATTTGGGACTCTAAAATGAGAAAACACCTCATATGGTTGTTCTGAAGACTAAATTATACAATACATGGAAAATGCTTAGTATAGCACAAGACACATAGCACTAGGCAAATATTAGCTATTCTAATTTTTAATGATAGATTTTTTTATGTCTCTCTAAAATGAAGACATGGCTTCCTTATTCTCCAATAGTAAAAGTTCTTTTAAGAGAGTTATGCCTCTGATGATCCTTGCAAATGTGGGGGGAAATTAATTTGTTCACTTATCCATCACTCACTCTGGCTAGCAAACCAAGTACTGCCTGAGATAGCAATGGCATTGGCTCCAAGGGAGCCACTCCAGGGGTGCTGTAAGATAATCAATCACCTTAGTGAATTTTCCCAGCAGATAGTTGACAGTAATCCAGCCATAGGCACCTTCCTCTCCACCAGAGATGATTCTGGCACCCCTGAAGTCAAAGGGGTAGCTGTTGAGGACATCTCTTATCACAGCCAGGACATTGTCTGCCACCCATTCGTTTTCAAGTCTACACAAAGGGAAGAGCTGAGGTTACTGGTTTTGTTTCAATAAATGCACCTATCCATTTCAGCCACAGCTTCTAGTCAGTTCTCCTAGGAAGTGAATCATAACTCACTGGAATAAGCAGAATGATGGAGCTACCCACCCATGGGTGCCTGAGGGGCCCTCCTTTTAGGTGAGGCACAACTATTTTTTTTGTCCCCCTCTCTCCAAATCTAAATCCTTCCAATCTTTAAATAGGTTTTCTTCCTAAAATAACATTCTGTTGTTGTTTCCTGGCTCCAAAAACTTATCCAGGTACTTTTAATTACTGTGGTGGTCATAGATGGGTATTTTCTGATCACCACACTTAGAACTAATACTGTATTTTTTCTGACTATAAGATATGCCTCCCCAATTTGGGAGTAAAATGGGGGTGCATCTTATAGTCTGAATGTAGCTTACATAGCTTGCTGTGGGGGGAGGGGGGATGGCAGTGGAGCAGGGTCACAGGTTATAATATTTTACCACATTTTTTGCTTCAAAAATTACTTTCCTATTTTCCTCCTCTAAAACCTAGGTGTATCTTATGGTCCTAAAAATACGGTATGTCACAAGCCATTGCTAGTGATTAGTAGCTGGTTACATATCCAGGCTCTGCTTGAGGTTCTTAATTAGGTCTATCATAGACACCAGGTGGCAAATGTCCTAGGATAGATGTGCAATGCCCATTGGTGCTAGACTTGGAAAAAATCTTCCTCATATTGTGCCTCAGTTCTCGGGTATGTCTGAGACCTTGAGACATAAAGGAAGAATCTTCTAGAATTGTCATAATGAAAATGGGATGCAGTTGTTTCCAAGATATAGAGTACTCAACACTGAGAGCCTCAGGGTGATAGGATACTACCTTCCAACTGAAATTAGATTCCTGTAATCTCTCATCTGTATTAATTCCATACCCTACAAACTGGCCCCTTTATCCCTAGTTTTCCTTCTCTCTAGCTCACCTTCTCTGCTAGTGGCACCAGTTGTGTAACACCACTTAATGGCTTCTTATTATCTCCAGAAAAACTCCAAAATCCCTAGCATGCCCTACAAGGCACTGTGTGATCTAGAACCTGCCTTCTCAGAATCTCACTCAGAATCCTGACTTTACCACTTACCAGGCATGACCCTGGGTAACTTATTTAACATTTGTTAAGTCACAGTTTCTCTACCTGGTTAATGATAGTTAATAATGCCTCTTACTCCATAGAGTTAGTATGATTAAAGCATAGTCAAAAGAACATAGTAAAGGCTCAACAAATACAAGCTGCTAATATTATTACTACTACTATTATTATTTTTACTATCTGCACCCTATGTTCTATCTATAGTCCTCTGAACTATAGTTCTGGTCTCTCGCATATTCCTGCTTTTGCATTTCTGTTAGAATGTAAGCTCCAGGAAGGCAGGGACTTTGTCCTCTTCACTGTATCCCCAGCACTAAGAAGAGTGCCTGAAACATAACAGTTGCCCAAAAAACATAGGTTATAGAATGCACAATGTCTGCTCTGCCTGTGATGCCCTTGCCCACCCTTCAACTCCTCCTTCAGGATTCAGCTCACATGTCCCCTCCTCTGGAGAATCCTCCTGACCTCCTCCCATTCTGGGCAGGGCAAAGTGTGCTCCTGCAGCAACTCTGAGCAGCCTGCTATTAAAACATTGATCACCCTGTCTTGAAACTTTGACCTCCTTGAGGACTGAAATAATTGGGTTGGTCAAAAATTTTGTTTAGTTTTTCCCATAAAATAAAAGACATTTTTCATTTTCACTGATAACTTTATTGGTTTGGATATTTTGAGTATGTCAGCTCTCTCCCACATGGTATAACATTGATTGTTCTCACTTCGTGTCTTGCTTTGATTGCTATCAACTTCAACTGGTCTACCCAACCATGGAGCATTGTCCAGTGAGAAATCTCTAGCACAAAACTTCACAAATCACCTTTGACACGTTCAATCAGTCACAGCACCTTCTCCATACACTGTACAAATCTTTTTTTGTGTGTTTCAGTTGCATTTTTACCTTTCTTGAAATAATAAAGCATAGTATGCCAATAATGTTGCATATTTTCTTCCATCTTCAATATTAAAATGACCATGCAAAAATTTACCAATTTTGATAAGTTTTTTTTAAGTGTGTGCTGATATGACAGCTGTCACAATACAATCTAACAAAATTGCTTTGGATGATGTTAAAGACAGCTAAGCATTACTAGAGCCATCTTATGGAAGAAAAACCAAATGAACTTTTTTGCCAATTGAATACCTACTTCCATATCCTCGGACAGGGTGGTCAGTCATGGTGCAGCACATGCAGCATGAATGAATGAACAAAAAAGCAAATGAATGAATGAATCATAGTGAACACAAATGCTAAGTGGTGACTAATAAAGATGTGCTAGTTGTGAATATTTGTGTCTTGGGACATCTGTGACTCTCCTTCGGTCATACCTCTCTCAGAGATCGAACGGCTAAATCTGTAGCCCCAAATCCCAGAGTATACGAGGTCTGTCCGGAAAAAGTCTAGCCATTATTAATATAATGAGAATGGTTTGCATGACACTGATGTAACCTGGCAGCCACAGAGAGTGGACTGGAATGAGCATGCCTGAACAATGACCACTTCACTGTACTAGTCAGTGGGGGCAGTAGATGCTGTTGAGTGAACATGGGTACAGTGTGGCCATCCCATTCAAAATGACTGAGTGAGTAGAGCAACGAATCTGCCTCAGATTTTCCATTAAGCTTGACCATTCCTCCACAGACACTATTCAGATTGTTCAGAAGGCTTTTGGGGACAATGCAATGCACAACAATGCACCCACTCATGCATCGCATCTTGTGCAGAGTATTTTGGTGAAACATCCAATCACTCAGGTGACTCAGCCCCCCTACAGCTCAGATTTGACACCCTACAATTTCTGGCTTTTCCCAAAACTAAAATCACCTTTGAAAGGGAAGAGATTTCAGACTGTCAGTGAGACTCAGGAAAATATGATGGGGCAGCTGATGGAGATTCCAACAAAGGATTTTGCAGAGTGATTTGAAGAATGGAAGAGACACTGGGAAAACTGTGTGAGGTCCCAAGGTGCCTACTTTGAAGGGGACTGGGGCGTCGATGTCCTATGCACAATGTTTCTTGTATCTTTATCTTCTTCAATAAGTGTCCCTATTTTTCATATTACATGTCTGGATACTTTCTGGACAGCCCTCACATAGGTTTGATCTTTCTCTCTTTGTGTTCTCGCTCCCTTGAAGTTCCTGGGGGAGAAGGGCAAGTGGGAATTTTTTAAAAACATACTTAAACTCTCAAGTTACACATACTGAATTTGGAAGTTTTACCCACTTACTGAGATTTAGAATATTTAGAATTGTAGGTGTTAGGGAACTGTGGCACTCTCCCTACATGTTGCTATACCTGAGCAACCGCATGCCCGCAGTAGCTCCCAGGTAAACAGGTGTCTCTTGGTGCTGGGATATTGGAATCACTTTCCCGGCTCTTTCCATGCATGCAGTCAGATAAATGCCCAAGCCACTTGTTTTGTGAGCATATTGTGAGATTCCAGGACCTAGAAAAAGATGTAGAAGCAGATGACAATATATTTTTTAAGTACAGAACACACTGTGACCATATTAGAGCAAAATACTGGTGTTTTCTAATAAAATTCAAGAAGACAATTTCTTAATGTGATTACACATTAGTTTGTTCTACTTAGAGGGTAACTTACTGAACCAACGTTGCCTTAGTAGGGACTTACTTTCAGACCTCAGGCGGGGTCTGTTCACTGTTCAATAATGTTGCCACTGGATGGCGCAATTTTCACATGCAATGAAGCTACTTTTTGATGTTTCTTCCACAAAACTATAATTAACCACACTAATTCCTAGAAGATCTACATGGATGGAGATGACATTTAAAACACAACTTAAAATAAGCACCAGGCACATTGGCTTTTACTGAAAAGATAGGAACTGCAACTAACTAGCTATGTGATCATAGCTGGACCCCTAACATTTCTGAAGCAGAGTTTCTTCCATGTCCCCTCAGTGATTTTTCCACTCTGATGACCTACCTCCCTGGTAATACTGTTTTCCCAGTATTAGAGCAAAACTAATTGTTGCTATGGAAAGGATTAGAGCCAGATTCCTTAAGCTTTTGAGGTTAACACTTAACGATTTCAGTTCACTTTAAAATGAACGTCCACACTGTCAAGTGCTTTATAGTGATAATTTGGTTTAAAGATAATTATCCAGATACGTTATCCTTATCATTCACAGGTTTTTAAACAACCTGGTTACTTAACAGTAATAAGAAAATCAGCTCAAAGTTATCAACTAATTGTTTTAATTTAAAATGTCTGGCCTTCAAGATGGGTGGGGCCCAGCAGCTGTGCTTTAACAAACCCTCCAAAGGGTTCAAACTTGAGAACCACTGGCTAAGATATGGGTTTGAAGTTGGGCAGATCTCCCTTTGAATCCCTGTCCCATCACTTACTAGCTCAAGCAAGCTGAAACAAGTGGCATAACATCTCTCAACCGCAGTGCCCTCATTTTAAATAACGGCTATAATAATACATACCTCAAAGGGAGATCATGAAGATGAAATAACATTTTTAGTGCTTTAGGTTGGTGCACAGCACACAGAAGTGTCCTGTTGATGGGAGGTACTATTACTCAGTTATTTTTAAGTTTATGCTTCAAGGGCTCAATCATTTAATGATTTCAAATTATTTTTATAATGATGACAAAATAACAATAGCAGCTCCACAATGTACTTCTCTTGACTTGCTTTCCTTCGTGTGCTCCACTTGCCATATGCGTGTCACGTCCCACTGTCCCCCCCTTCCCTTTTCCTTCATCTTACCTTTTACCTTGCACTCGTGTATCTGATTCACCACCCCTGTGTCATTCTCCTTTTCTGCTGGCCACTTATAGATGTACAAAGTTGTGTGAGAAGAGCCTGCATCCAGCACAATCCCATACTGAGGGCAAAACAAACCAAGAACTTATCAGCATTACATTGTTCTTTTCCATATTCATCTTGCAAGAGAAAAAAAAGATAAAGATAAGAGTTTTCAAAAATATGAGGAGAAACTATTTTAATTCAAGAGGAATATGGAAGGCAGGGGTAGTGCAGGTTGCCTAGAGTTGCCCTGGTCACAAGATCCACCAGAAGTCCAGAACTCCCACCCACTCTAGCATAGTGGTTATCAATATTGGCTGCACATTAGAAATGGCCAGACCTTGCAAGGGTGGGGCCTGAGCATCAGTTTTGTTTAGAAGCTTCTTGGTGGTTCTCATGTGCAGCTAGTTTCTGAACCATGTGCTGAAGTGGTTGGGACAATATGGAGGGAATAGAGAGCCTTAATTTAGTAGTTCCCAAACTGTGTCCACATAAAAATCATTAGAATTACCTGGAGAGCTTCAAAGGCTACTGATGCCTATCTGCCACCACACAGATGTATAATTTAATTGGTCTGTTATGTGGTTTGGGCTTTGGAAGAGAGACATGAAAAATACTTGCTTTTTTATTATAAGTATAACTATAAATTGTACCCAATAAATTTTAAGAGATATGAACTTAAACTTCATGTTTGGGGCCCTTAAGAAGAGTAGGCGGTGATGAAAGGAAGAAAGAACATTGGGGTGGGGGAAGACAGATCTATATGGTCAGAGAATAGGAGAAAAACAAAGTCTCCAGCTCACATTTCATGAGTATATTAAGTGTACCAGGCAGGCATGTTATGAAGTATTTTATAAGAATTACCTGATTTAACCCTCGGAACAGTGCTTCAAATTAGGAAGTATTTTTATCTCCTCTGCATAGGCAAGAAGCTAAAGCACAAAAGGTTATGTAGTTTACTCAAGAGACACAGCTAATGGGTGACAGTGCTTGGATTTCAATCAGACTTAAGAACTTATGATCCTTATAGAGAGAAATATAGGACCAAGGACTAGATAATAGTTTTCATATTGGTGCCCCCTTTTTAATTAGACTTTCTACTTTCTTTAATGATATTTTATTGATTATGTTTACAGTTGCCCTGATTTTCTTTTTGTCCCCCTCCACACAGCACCTCCCACTCCCTCAGGCAATCCCCACACCATTGTTCATGTCCATGGATCATACATATAATTTTTTGGCTACTCCATTTCCTCTACTGTACTTTACATCCCCATGGCTATTCTGTAACTGCCTATTTGTAGTTCTTAATCCCCTCACCTCTTCACCCATTCCCCCATGCCCCCTCCCACCTGACAACCATAAAAATGCTCTCTGTATTCATGATTCTGTCTCTGTTCTTGTTTGCTTAATTTGCTTTTAGATTCAAATGTTGATAGATATGTACTTATTGCCATTTTATTGTTCATAGTTTTGATCTTTTTCTTAAATAGGTCCCTTTAACATTTCATATAATAATGGTTTAATAATGAACTCCTTTAGTTTTTTTGTCTGGGAAGCTCTTCAGCTGCTCTTTGATTCTAAATGATAGTTTTGCTATGTAGAGCAATCTTGGATATCGGTCCCTGCTTTTCATGATTTTGAATACTTCTTGCCAGTCCCTCCTAGGCTGCAAAGTTTGTTTTGAGAAATCAGCTGATAGTTTTATGGGAACTCCCCTGTAGGTAACTAACTGCTTTTTCTCTTGCTGTTTTTAAGATTCTCTCTTTATTGTTAACCTTTGGCATTTTAATTATGAAGTGTTTTGGTGTGGGCCTCTTTGCATCCATCTTCTTTGGGATTCTTTGTTTCCTGGACTTGCATATTTATTTCCTTCATCAAATTAGGGAATTTTTCTTTCATTATTTTTTTCCAATAGGTTTCCAGTTTCTTGCTCTTTCTTTTCTCCTTCTGGCACCCCTGTGTATGATAGGAATGTTGGACCTCTTGAAGTGTTCCAGAGGCCGCTTTTACTTGCCTCATTTTTGGGGATTCTTTTTTCTTCTTCTTGTTCTATTTGGTTGTTTTTGCTTCCTTATGTTTCAAATCATTGGTTTGATTCTTGGCTTCATCCACTCTACTGTTATTTCCCTGTAAATTGTTCTTTATTTCAATCAGTATATCCCTCATTTCTGACTGGATCTTTTTATGCTGTTGAGGTCCTCACTAAGTTCATTGAGCATTCTCATAACCTATGTTTTGAACTCTGCATTTGATAAAGTGCTTATGTCCATTTCATTAAGCTCTTTTTCTGGAGTTTTGATCTGTCCTTTCATTTGGGCCATGTTTCTTTGTCTCCTCATTTCGCAGCCTCTCCATGTTTGTTTCTATGTATAAGGTAGAGCTGCTTTGACTCTGTGTCTTGGTAGTGTAGCCTAATGATATAGGTGTCCTGTAGGATCCAATGGCACAGCCTCCCCTACACCCAAGCTGGGTACTCAAGGTATGCCCTTTGTATGGGTTGAGTACACACCCTTCTCTTGTAGTTCAGCCTTGGTTGCTGTTGGCAGATCAATGAGAGGGATTTACCCAGGCCAGTCAGCTGCAAGGATTGGCTCTGAGCACTGACCCCCAAACTCCACCCTCCATGGAGGATTAGCTGTGCAGGGGCAAGGTAGGGTGCTGCAACATGGTCTGTCCACTGGGTGCACTGGCCCCAGGGTTTCCTAGGTGGTGAAGGCTAAGGTAAGCCCCCACTGGTGTTCTGCCCCAGGTCACCCTGCCTGAGCTATAAAACAATCTGAGTTACTGCTACTTGTACTGGGCTTGGAGATTCCCAGGTGAAGCCAAGTTATGAATCTATGCTAGTTGCTGCTGTGCTGTGCCTGGGGCTCAGTGAGGCCAGCTATTGCTAGTTTGATAGGATTTAGGAAGTTGTGAAGCATGAGCCCAGACCAGCCATTCATATGGAAAAGCAGCTTGGGTGGACCCCTAGGTTTGGTGGGGTGGAATCTCTGGGGATTTCCAAGGCAGGTCAGTGTTAGCCAGGTTGATGGGGTCTCAGATATGGCCCCAGCTTGCTGGCTCTGGGAGGGAGGGTTTAGAAAAGGGACAATGGCCTCTGCTGCAAGGCACCTCAGTTTCTCCCTGTATGCCACTGGTGCCTTTCAAGTGGCTACCTCAGTGCTGGAGCTCAGAGGAAATGAGTCTGAGTAGATGAGTCCATGTGTGGGTTCTGTAAGAGGAACTGCTTAGGGCTCCAGAACTTTCTTCCACCAACTCAATCCCAGCTAGTTTTTGTAGCCAGAAGTTGTGGAGACTTGTCTGTCTAGCACTGGAACCCTGGACTGGGCCGGGGGGGAGGCGGGCTGGTATGGGGCTGGGTCTCCTTGCTCCTGAGATATCCCTCCCTAATTTTTATCCACCACACATGAGTGAGAGACCACCTGGTTCAGCACCTGCACCTCTCCTACCGGTCTGGATAGATGTGGTTTCCATAATTCTGTAGTTGTCAGACTTCCATTCAACTCAATTTCTGATGGTCTTGAGTGATGGTTGTTCTATATTTTAGTTGCAATTTTGATGTGGTTGTGGGAGGAGCCAAGCCATGCTTATGCCACTATCTTGACCAGAAGTGACTTGGTGCCCCCTTTTAAGAACTTTTAATGAAAGAGAACTACAGAAAAATATGCAAATCTTAGCTGTGCATCCCAATGAATTTTTGCCCATGTGGACATCCATATAAATCATCACCAAGGGGGAGATACAGAACATCTTCTAGTCTCCAGAGGGCTTCCTGGTGCCCCTCTTAGTTTCCCTCATAAGTAACTACGGCCTGGACTTCTATCACCATAGATGAGTTTTACCTATTTTTTGAACTACAGTAAATGGAGTGACATAATGTGCCTCCTTTATGTCTGTGTTGCCACCCTTCAAGGCCAGGCAGGTTCATGGTATTCGTGCAGACAGAAAAATATTCATGGAGCCATGGGATGTCTGGCATGCCTTTATTCATGGGCGGGCGAGCCATGCATGCTGCAAGCTCTGTGTCTATCTGCATGTCTCATGTCATGGCCCCTGCTCCCCAGTGTGGCGCCCATCATGGCACCTGTCCCCTTGTGTGTCTCTCATCATCATCGCCCCCAGCAGGGAGTCCCTACCTGTTTAAGTACTAGAGGGGAGTAAAGCTGGAAAACTGCCAGAACATTACATGACAACATAATTCTGCACATGTGAGCTCACTTCATGTTATGGGAACAGTTTGTCAGGCCCAGTCAAGGCTTTCAGAACACTAGTTATCAGGCTCTCCAAGGCTATGGGAGTACTGCTCCCCTTAGTTACCTAGACACCTGGATGAGGAAGCCAGACTGCCTCCACTTACTCTACAATGTCTAATTTCTTTCATTCTAGATTATGTCTCTAAGATGCATTCAAACTGTGTGTATCAGTAGTTGATCTCTTTTCATTTCTGTAGAGTATTTCATTATTTTCATATATTATATGCCTATTTTTATGCACTCTACTCTTGATGGACATTTGGGTTGTTTCCAGATTGGAACTATTAAGAATAGAGCTGCCAGAACATTCTTATACATTTCATTTTGTGGACATGAGCTCTCATTTCTCTGGGGTATTTACTCAGGAGTAGACTAAAGAATGCCCACATTGACCAATTAATATTCATCTTTGTTTATACCCCTGGGTTTAATCAGGAACAAAATGCCATGATTGAATAATAATGTCTGCTATGGGCTTCTGAGGGGCACATATACTTTTTATGTATCATCCCTATACTGGAGACAAAAATGGAGGAAAGTAAATGGGGGAGCAAAAGGAAAAGCAGAGGTTGCACTTGTAAAGTGTGAGCTAACTACTCTCATCACATTTTGTGGCTCATTTGAGCTGCCTACCTCCAAGTGTGGTCTGCCATTGATGTTTATTAATTCAGTGCTCTCCCTCCCAGGAGCACACCTGTGCCTTTCCATTCCCCTTCTTCTTTCCTCCACAGGTGTCCATCTCCTAAACTCAAAGGGTCTCCACGAGACTTGCAACCAGGGGAGCAATGGGCAGTGGCAGCTTGTCCCGAGCTAACCTCCTGAA